GATTCTCCCAAATACTGAAATGTACAGTCCCTATCCCTCGGCCCTTCTTTTGCAACTCATATAAGATCAACATCACAGTCAGGTGCCCGCCTTCACGCTGCGCCGCGCAAGTCTAGAGATCAGCTAGCACACAGAACTGGCCCCATAAGGGCAACTGGACCAACATGGGCTTCAAGCGTGCAGCAGCTGGCAAAATGCTACCCAAACACCAGATCCACATAGAACCTGTTCCTAGACAATGTGAAAGACATGTCGCAGCTTGGCGCGAATTTTCTCGAAGTTCTGCCGACCATCTGCCGCTCCTGTCCACGGGGAGACCAAACTATATGAGGCCCCGCGAAGAGCTAAGGGAACTCGTGGTCCGTTTTGGAAAGGGTCCCAGCAGAGCGCAACTCAGAGGGTGACTTGCTAAGGGATCCAACACCCAGCTGGGTCACCCTCGATAAGATAGAGCCTCTGGTATGAGCCTGAACGCAGTTTTTGCACTTCGAACCCAGGAGAAGACTGACTCATTCTGTTGCACATGTGCATTTGCCAGGGAGCCTGGCATTCATGCAGTTTCTCTCGTTTGCGCTCGCCTTCTCGAAAGGGGCCTATACTTGTCAGACTAGGAGATACCGCCTGTAGCGGCTATAGTTTCTAAGTCGCTTGAGCTTTCCTGACTTCCTGCGGGACTCTAGAAGCTTGTAGAAGCTACAAACCAGTGTTGTGGAGCAGCCAAAGGGCTGCTCACTAGTTGGCGTTTCAAAAAAAAAGCGAGAGCATTTTGCACTCTCGTAGGCTCGTATAGAAACGGCAGCTTAGGCATACACCCAGATGCAAACAAAGCCGGCACACGCCCTGCCGTGTAGCCAATAGTTTGAACAATCACAGCAGCATCATGCCAAGGACTACAATGGCCAACAAGGCGAAGTGCGGGACTGCAGTCATTGTAGAGCCAGTGAGGGAGGAAGTGATCATATCCCACTGATCCTGCCTGCGCAGCATTGAACAGTAGATTTAGAGCATCAAGTGAAAACAACAACCGCCGTGGATCTGAGGACAGCAATTTTAGCATTGGCGGATCGAATATTTGCTTACGTGAACGGAGCGGTATCTTTATTTTGAAAAGCAGTAGGCATCGTCTTGCAAATTAGCGCATAGCCATTCTCTGCAGCTTGGTCTGGACTGTCTCTGAAATCTTGTGGAGGAGAACTTGTCGTCTTAGTGCAAGTGGCGACTTGACAGTCCGCTGTGGCATTGGATTGAGGGTTGTAGAGGGCTACGAAGGAAACGTTGTCTTGATTGTCGTACAGGCCTGCAGCTTGGTTCTGTGAGGGTGGGAGTCCCGTGAAGTTTTCGAATGCTGCTTTCCAGGAGTCGACTATACTTTTGCAGTCCGGTTTGTCGGAGGTTAGGGGCTTGAACGCGTATGTTCCATCCTTAAATGGTTCAGCAGGAGCCACAGAGCCATATGTTTGTTCTTGTGTCTGAAGAGCGGGGGCAAGAGGTGAGGGCACACACACATCAAGCGCAGACGCATTTATTTGAAGGGGCATATTTCCCAGAGTCCTGGCAGACGTTTTATTTGGCAGCTTACTGGTATTAAGTATTCACACATTTTTTTCCAGTCTCCATCATCGAGCTCTTCCTCCGGAGTCGGCAATTTGCCACCTTCCTTGGCCTCCGTGAAGCCAGAGAATCCAGCCGCTTCGCGGGCAGCATTAACCTCGTCGACGCAGTAATTTTCTCCACCTGCACGCATCTATCTCACTGACAATGAGTGTCCCTGGCCTCTCGTTAAGTAAACTGGGAAAAAGTTAGGACAAGATGAGCCGCCCAACGTTAGTGACGGGAATCGGCACATGCCATCCAGGTCAAGCGTCAGCGGGAAACGGACATGGTAGTTATATTTTTTATCGCTCACTCAGCTTTGCGGTATACGTTACGGTGACTGCTTCAGCTGCCGCAGCGCTTGTGGGGACCATTGGCAACAAGGCACTCAAAACACCCCAGAGGCTTGGCGGCGGCATCTCTGCAAACAAGACGTTCAAGCATCCAACAGATATAGATGATGTTGGAAAAGGGCAAGTATTCAAGTGCAAAGGGAAATTTGACACATAAGGGGAGCTGGATCGCTGAACAATGCGAGCTCTTCATTGTGGGGTTGCTGTGAGTCCGTGTGCGACTGGAGACGAGCGTGCTCTGAGACAGGTATAAGAGCTCGTCCAGAGAAAGCGGCACGATTGCGCAATTGGAAAACACAAAGAGGTTCCCTTATAAAACAGCCTTAAACACGATACCTGAAGGAGCTTTTATGAGAGCTGAGAAAGTTGAAGGCTCCACAGTAGATCATTGAACCCAGAGAGAGAGGCATTGGATCCTCACCTGCAGTTATTGTCTCATTGTTTCATATCTGCCCTTCAGATCTGTCCGACATCCATTGAAATATGCTATTTTCTCAATTGAGCTCGCCTTGTGCGACTACGTTCAGCATAACAAATGTATAATGCAGCATTTCGCGCAGCGTTCGCGAAGCAGGCAACAGTTCGCGGCACCAGTCTCGAGCCTGTGTGCACACCTCACACAACACGACAAGACGGGGACCCAGAACGGGCATAACAGCTCTCCATCTCCCGGTTAAATACTGAACTTTTGAGATGCAAGGGAAGGAGTCATGCAGGGAAGGAGACGACGGCTTCTGCGGGTTCTCCAAAACCCTTCTGCCTAATCACGGTGGACTGCCCAATGAAAACGCAAGCAAAGCTGTAGCGCTTACTCCGCAGAGACGTAGCAGACAATAACGAAGCGAGTTCGCAAACTTCCAGCGGGCTTGGTGAAGGCATAATGCGCAGCTGGAACATTTCAAGGTCATACAGCACGAAGTCCGTTTGAGCAACGTAGAAGTGTGTCCTGACTGTTGTTCCCCTATATCCACCTTCAAATATTAACGTAAACACAGGTGGTGGAGCTCTGCACGTGTGCTTTTTCATTGCACTGCGGCTTCGCAACTTCAGTTTGCTCTCAATGCGGTGACGACGCTGCAAGCGTGGCTACTGATTGCCCTACACCTTTTAAATTCATTGGTCTCTAAAAAGAAAGATTAGCATTCCATGGTTCCCAAGCTTTATCATGGGTTTAGACTTATGGGACTGTTCTACCAAGGAGCCATCACGGAATATAATTTCAAGAGCAAACTGAAAAAGGTTTGGTGTCATAATTGGCACAAAGATTCACTGCCAGAGCATCAGCTCCACTGGATACAGACTCTGTCAGACCATGTGCACTTGTTCAACGGAGATTTCAACGCGTCACAGTGCCAGCATGCCGAGCGCGAGGATGAAAATGCCCACAAGTTTCGGGACTGCGGCAGATGCAGAACCTGTGAGGGAGGAGACGATCCCGTCCCACTGCTGTTGCCTGAGTGCAGCAAATGACGACAGCTTCACAGAGCTCAGCTAATACCACGACAACTGGAACACTGTGAGCCGCTCTAAGTTGAAGGGAGCTGCTTCCTCTCACGTGAATGGGGCGGAATTTTCATCTGCAAGAGCATCAGGCATTGTCTTGCAAATCAGCGCATAGCCGTATTCCGGAGTCTCCTCCGCCTTAGATTGTGAAAGCAGATCTGAGTCAGAGCTTGTTTTCTTAGTGCACGTCACGACCCGGCAGTCCGCAGTGGCACTGGATGAGGGGTTGTAGAGAGCCACGAAGGAAACGTTGTCTTGTTTGTCGTACAGGCCGTTGGCTTGTTTCTTTGACGGCGGAAGTCCAGTGAAATTTTTGAGCGCTGCCTTCCAGTATTCGACCGTTTCGTTGCAGCTGGGTTTCGCGGCAGTGAGAGATTTGAATGCGTACGTTCCATCCTTAAACGGACTGTCTACCTCTGAGGCCACTTGAATCTTTGCGTCTTGTGTCTGAGGGAAAGGAGCAAGGGGGGAAATTTTTGCCGCCAGGGATAACCATGGTCATCCATGCTACTCCTATTATGAGCCGTGCAACTTACTGGTATCAAGTGTTGACAAATTTTCATCCACTCGCTGTTTTGCTCTAAATCGGAGTTAGGCGGGTTAGACAACTGGTCGCTTTGGGTAGCCTGTGTGAAGCTGGACAACCCGGCTGCCTCTCGTGCAGTGTTGATCTCGTCAAGACACTGGACGCCGTCTTCTGCATTGATAACATCCGCACAAAATCCACTGGCTCAGCGAGCCACTTAGATCTGCCGATCATTGCCAAGCTTGCGGCAACGTCTCGAAGTCTAGTTGTGAAGTGCAGCTGGAGTCGTGCGCATTGCGCTCAAGTAATTCAATACACTGAAATTGAGGCTACAGCAGAATTGGGGCGGAAAATTTGGAAACCGCACGCTCACCAAGCTTTGCAGTATATTTGACCGTTGGTGGTGTAGCTTGCTCTGCGCTGCCTGGCTTCAAGGCGATTAGCACCAGCAGCAAAGTGCTCACAAGAGGACTGATCCTGTGGAGCATCTCGGAGAACGGATCGTGAGCAATTTCTGCATGAAACAACTTTGAAAATTGAACAGCTATTCGCAAACAGAATGAACGAGAGCGTGTTAGCGGCACGCCTTAGTGCGACTTTTACCTGCAGAAAAAGTTGATGTGACGCCGTCGTCAGGGCACCAGGCAGGAGCACATGCGATATCGAAAGAGGCAGATCTCGACTGCTAGAAATCTGCCCACCACCTTGCTTAAAAAGAAGATGCAGCCAGGAAAAACAGAAAAAACTATGAGCGAGAGGAAAAAATGACCCATTCGTCGGTGCTGTTTGTCAATGAAGCTTTGCAAATGATGTGTGCAGTACATCCAATCTAGTCACTTGCGACATGGTCCTCCGTGACTACTTCCCCCCACTGCTGAAATGTAAAATTCCTGCCGAAATGTCATCACTATGCATTTTTCGTGAGATTAAAGCTTCGACTAAATGCATTTTTTCACTGCAGATTGCGCGTGGTTGGCAAGGGGACATCACTAATCACTAGCACATTGAGTCAGCACACAAAGGAGTCGGCCTAGGGAGAGTTTGGAATAAGCAGAACGCGGAAAAACATAGCCAAAATATTTCAGTAATGCATTGATCTCCGCGTCTTAGAATGATGAACTGGGCGAGTCGTCTGTGCGTTCTCATCTCCGGGCTTCATGCTGTTCCTCAATTCTGGTATCACGAATATGCGGGCATTGCAGCCCTAGAAACCAGCTCCTGGTCACGTCTAAGTGACTGCTAAGACGTTATACGGCCTTTGAGGGGACCACTGAGCTTCTGCTTTGTTGCGAAAAGGGAGATGGGAGTATCAGAGGGCGGCTGGCAGAGCGCGCAACACCCACCGGGAATACCCTGCACAACGTCGACACTTGAGAACGCATTTGTGCATGCCGTATGCACTCCAAAGCAAATAGATGCCAAATGGGTATGCTGCGCAAATTAACTGAGCAGGAAAACTCAAAAAGGTGCCTCCTGATTCCTCAGCAACCCTCGCCTTTGCTTGCATCTTAGCATGACGCCAGTGGCTGCCATTCCAGCAGACGCCTGTGGCTGCCATACCAGCAGATACCGCCTGTAGCTGATAGATTGTAGCAGCTACGCACTTGTGGTACATCCCTGGTGGATAGTGTATGCCTGTAAGGCTCGCTCACTACTCGCTACACTCCAGTCTTGTAGTTGCCCAAGGAACACACTCCCTGATGTTCCTCAAAAAATTGTGGACTTCCTTTTCTCAGAACCGCATTTTGAGGTAGCAAACCATGTTTGCACCTAGATGTGCGCAAAGACTCGAATGCACCCCGCTGCACAGTTGATGGGCCGAAATGTTACGGTACCATCATGCAGAACTACAGACTCATAAACAGTGGACAGTGGAGACCGTTTATCAATGTAAGGAAACACTCGATCCTTCCAATCAAGATTGCTGTCAGACCCATGCCGGTCGTGAATTCCACTGGGTGTTCTGGCTCTGCTGGCGAATGTTGCACAGGCAGGGTCAGGGGAACATGGTCACCGCCTAGCTCACGAGCTTCTTATTTTAAAAAGCACCAGGTTTCGTCTTGCAAGCCGTTCCCTGTATTCTGCCATGAAGCTCAGCCGAAAACTATTGGATCGGGACTTGTTGCCTAAGTGCTACTGATGACCTGGAACTCAGCAGAGACACCGAATGAGGGGTTGTACAGGGCCAGGAGGGATGCGTTGTCTTGGCTGTCGTACAGGCCTAGGACTTGTTTCTGTGTGAGTTGAACCCCCGTAAAGGTTTGTAGAGCTGCCTTGCAGTGGTTGAATACGTGTTTTCACTCCCTTTTGAGCAGTTAGGGATTTGGATGCATGCGCTTAATCTTTGAATGGGCCAGGAAGAGCTTCAGCGCTCCAACTTTATTCTTGTGCTTGAGGCAAGAGGCCTAGAGAGAGTGAAATAGTTGTGCGGGGGATCACATTTTGGATGACAATAATAAATAGTTGTGTGCTTTTTCTGATCGGCATCACCACGGTGGTGTTCTAGAGTTGGAACTATCATTCGTGACCTCCGTGAAGTGGAAAGAATCCGGCTCCTTTGCGGGCAGCATTGATCTCATCGTGACACCTGCTGTTGCTATCCAGACGCACTGAGCTCACACACGCTGTTTCCACATAAAAATACCGTTAGTGCATATAGGATAAAGTAGACCTCAGACCTAGGTGAGGTGCCAAGAACTAGTGAGAGGATCGACATTACGTCCCGAAGTGTTCGCTACAGCATGAAAGAAAAGCAAGAGACATTCTTATTTGCTGGGGCTTGAAGCATATGTTGCAGTGCCCACGTCAAATGCTGAAATGTTGGGAGCGGTCAGTCGCAGCGGGACGCTACTTGCAGGCCGGAGGGGTGGTATCGTCATTTATGCAAGATCTTGGAGTGTGTTAGTGAAATGGGTGACGTTAAACTGGTGAAGCAATAAAGTTCGGGGAAAATTTCATCAATCAGCGAGAGGCGAGATGGTGCAGCGTTTGCCGCTGCCAGTTCGCTAATGTGACCTGCTGTGAGTGCGCGCCCAGTGACCTGCTCCAAGGCTGTCAACAAGAGCTTGGCTGTCGTGTGGGGCGTTATCCGGTAGGAATACAAAGCTTCATCTTCGCAATACATTTGAAAAAGGACGCCAAAGATGGCATACGTGAGAGCTGACTAAATTGAGGGCAGGAACCTCATTAGAGCATTGAGCCCTGACGGAATCTAGATCTTCCCCTCCAGTTATGTGTCTCATGGTGTCGCATCTGCAATCTCTATCTGTCCTACTTCCGACAAAGTATGCTTTTTCCGCCCACAACGAT